GAGAAGGAGGAGGAGGACAAGGGGTAGGGGGAGGAGATGGAGAAGGGAAGGCGAGAAGGGGAAGGAGACGGAGGGCGACGATGACGAGGAGGAGGAGGAGGAGGAAGCGCAACGCAGTGCGGGAGAAGGGCCTCCGCCAAGACGAAGAGGAAAAAACGAGGGGCAGACTACACAGAATCTCGTGTGGGATCCGAGCGTCGGAGTTTTTTATGTTCGGCCTCTGTGGTGCCCCCGCTGGGCCCCGGAATCTTCAAAAAACGGTTCGGGACGATTGAACAAATCAATGCATCGGATGTCTGGGACATTTCCTCTAGTACATTACTGCTGTAGTCTACACATTTTTTTATTAAGGATTCAGGGTCTTCCTTTTTAGAGCTTGCAGAAGTAGCCATTTTGTTTTCTATAGGTAGTCCTTGACTATCGAAGATCCACCTATACTGTTGGTTAGTTGGTTAGTTGCTTCAACGATGTTGGCCACGCGTTTCAACAGAGCGTTCCCGAATATGGCAGCCGCCGAGCCCTGTTCCAAGGTGCCGCCGGATCACCTATAAAAACAGAACACGAATATCCATGGTAATACGACACGGTTGGCGATTCTGGGCGGGAACATGTCGGGGCCCTTATTATCACATCAGGACTTTCTGGGCCAGCTTCACGATCACGATCTCCACAGCACGAAACACGGCATCGAACCCTGGAGAAAATTGAAACTCACCCGCACGCGTCCACCACGTGGTCGTCGTCGACGCAAACATGGGTGCACCGCTGGGCCTCTGGAAGCCTTCTGGAAGCCTCCTGAGTGTTTGTTGGAGGCTTCACGAGGCGTTGCTGGTTCATCTGGTGGCCTAGTGGGCTGGTGTCGTATCCTGGAGCGTTTGGTAGGCCTCGTGGAGAAACCACGAGCCCGTTTTGTGAAGGCACCAGGCGCGAAAACAAAAGCGCGGGATCTTCCTCCTCCTCTTCCTCTTCCTCCTCCTTCTCCTCCTCATCCTCCTCCTCCTCCTCTTCCTCCTTCTCCTCCTTTTCCTCATCCTTCTAGCCCCCTCCTTCTCCTCCTCCTCCTCCTCCTCCTCCTCCTCCTCCTCCTCCTCCTCCTCGTCCTCCTCCTCTCCTCCTCCTTCTCCTCCTTTTCCTCCTCCTCTTCCTCCTCCCCTCGTCCTCCTCCTCCTCGTCCTCCTCGTCGTCGTCCTCGTCCTCCTCCTCCTCCTCGTTCTTTCCTCCTTGTCCTCCTCCTCCTCGTCCTGCTCCTCCTTCTCCTCCTGCTCCTCATCCATGGCTTGGAAGAAGTTCAACACTCATCGGCCTGAGCTTACAAGCAACCAGTACTCCATCAATTCTCGTCTTCGACTTTTCGAAAGCACAGTATATTCGACCATGTTGTACGGCTTTGAAGGATGGGTCTTGACCAAGCCTCTGGAGGACAAGGTGCGGCAATCCCAGCGATGGATGCTCCGAACGATCGTCCGCACACCCTGGAGGAGGCTGAATGCAGACGAGAACCAGAACTCATCCAGCGAGGCCGCCGCAACTAACAGTTCCTCGAGCAGTCAAAACAGTTGCAGTATTCAAGTCGACTTGGAGTCTTGGATCGATTGGGCGAGACGGGCGACCCGCAACGCAGAGCAGCGCCTACAACGTCTTCAAATTTCCGATTGGATTTCTGCACACCGATCTTCGGCTCACAAGTGGTAGTATCGTTTACAGGATTCGGAACACTCGTCGGCAAAGTGGGCTTTGCAGCGGGCACCTTCTCAACCACATCACCGGCGCCGTCACGGAGGACAGCGGAAACGATGGTTCCAGGCCGTGCAAAATTACTACTGGATCTGAGGGCCGAGGCCCCGCGGCGCCGCCCTGCTCAGGGCCGCATCCCCGGATCCGATGGCAGCGCGCTCGCTCGCTCGCTCGCTCGCTCGTTCGTTCGTTCGTTCGTTCGTTCGTTCCTCCTCCTCCTCCTCCTCCTCCTCCTCCTCCTCCTCCTCCTCCTCCTCCTCCTCCTCCTGCCTCCACAAGGCTTCCAGAAGCCCCGAGATGCCCTCCAGGAGGTCCCGAGATGCCTCCGATGGGCCCCAAGGTGTTCCCAGAGTGTCCTGCTTCAGGGCGGCCCCAAGAGGCCCCTCAAACGGCCTCGAGGGGGCCCAAGACTTCCCCAGAGGGTTGTTTCCAAGAATGCCCGAGAGGCCCTTTCGGAGAGCCCCAAGATAGCCGCAATACAGCCCTTAAGATTCAACCACGGTCGAGCGAAGCTTACGCCGATTATCGGCCAAATGGGCGTTGCGTTTCCATGGCGATGACTCGCCGTAGCAGCCTACAATACCCTTTCACATGCCCTGGGGAGGCCCCTGGAGGCCTGGGGATTGCCCAGCGTCACTCATACTCTGATCCATTAGAAGCACTCAGACCCAGAGCCACACAGACTTAGACCCCAATTCAAAATTACCCACTCACTTCCAGCCTTGTCCGTAGCAATCCTAACTCACAACCAGTCCTCACTCGTACCATGCTGCTCATGCGCAGGTAGTTAACAGTGGGTACGTTTGGACTTGAACTCACAATTCGCGACACCAATTTGAAACTCGGGAAGGGGCCAGGGGGGGCTGGAAGTGTCGCCCCAGCAGGTCAGGCGCGATCCAGCCGCACTGTCTACAGGTGTGTGGTTTCTCGGGGGTTTCCCAGTGGACCCAGAAGGGCTTTCTGGAAGACTGCAGTGGACTCGTGGGGCCCTTGGCAGGCGAATTTAGGCTCTCCAGGGCTGCAGATCCAGCGAAAACGATGGTGTTAAGCTCATGTCACGTTTCACGTTCGGCTACTGCGTTGGTGTTGTGTGTTGTTGTTGCATATTTCTCCTTATTGCTCGTCAGCGTCATGGACGGCAAAAAAAGAGAGAGAATGACGTGTCACAGAAAGTGCAAAGTTAAGACGACTTGTAATCGCCCAGCATCCGCTTTCCCTTCGCAGAACGGCTTCGGAACAGTAAGACACCGAGGACCATTCCTTATTGCCGAAATCCGCGTCCTACTTGTAATAGAAACGTGCGACCCATGGTAAGTTATGCCATGTCCTTAAGGACGTCGGACAATGCGGAAACACGTGTGGCGAGCATACGTGTGTAGCTGTGTAGCTTCAAGTTCGCATTCAGAGTGCAAGTGCAAATGCGAAAACAGAAGAAGCAAGGCGAGTGTGGCACTACAGAAAGATGTATTCCGGAACACGTATGGCAAATCTGAAAGCGAGGCGTGCATTGTGCCGTATTACATGTCACCCAGTTGTTTTCGGCAAGTCCCACTACGTTCACCGCGCCAGCCCTGCGTTCTGGGTGGCAACATGTGGCACCGTTCGTCCTTACTTCTTGAGGGGCTGTCAGACAGCACTCGACAGTCTACCGCGTCTCATCGTGCCAGGGGGCACGGTGGCGAACTGTACGAAGGATTGGGGACGCAGCGAATCCTGGTCCTCTCCCGATCTCGCGGGGCAGGGCTGCAGCGCATGTGCGTACATTGGAGAGGCCTGACGGCCGGTGCCGCCGACCCTGATCGAAAGGGCTAGGAGTGGGAGGAGGAGGAGGAGGAGGAGGAGGAGGAGGAGGAGGAGGAGGAGGAGGGACAGGGCTGCAGCGGATGTGCGTACAGTCTTCCTTTTAGAACGAGCGAGCGAGCGATTCTTCTGCATTGGCCGGGGCCGACCCGCTGGGGGCGGAGCGTTGAGGCCGCAGCCCTCGCATGCGATTGGAGACGACGACCTCGTCCTCCAGGTTTCGCCAGCAGCCGCAAAATGAACTCCAAGAATCGCGAAAATCGGGGGCGGCAAAGAGGGGGGTGATGACTACGGGGGGTGGATAGCATGGCGGGGGCCATGATATCTCCCCAGATCTCATGGCGCCTCTTCTTATTTCATTACGTCCCTGGCCCCCCCGCTGGGCCGCGCACATGCCGCCTGTCATGATTTGCACCCCCCCCTCTTGGACACCCCCCTCTTGGCCGCTCCCGAGAAAACTTTTCGTTGCAAGAAAACGTTGAAGATCCGCAGTCCATCGACGCCGGGGTCGTCCTAGGGACATGGAGCAATTATTCGTGTACTTCGGCTCCCAGTCGGCCGCAAACTTCGACCACTTGCCAGCGTCGAGTTGCCGCGTTTTCTGCGCCCACGACTTTTTCATTCTCTCCTGTACACTTGGACGTTTCGTGGAATCGAAAACGGTACCTGCGTTGCTAATCTGTCCCATCCTCCGAGCGATGACGATAAACATAATGGGGCTAGCGTTGGAGCTGGTTATCACTTGTGGCTTTACCCCCCGCTCCTATCATGCTGATTCCGTTCTACAGCCTCTCGTCTTCCGTGTGCACGTTCTCAAAGTTCGTTGGTTCACCAACCAAATACCTAGAATTCTTGGTCTGACTCCAAAAATTATGTCTCCGACTTTGAAACCGAGCCCGTTTGGCATCTCCGCCCTTCTCTTTGCATTCTGACCCGCCATCCTTCGTTCCAGACGATCCCTCCGATGCACACCGTTCCTGCCCAAACCGCAATTCCCGAGACTTCTTTGATGCCTTCAACAGTTTCCCGCGACCAAGCTTTGTCAAAATTTCGTGTTTGGGGTGTCGTGCGCGATTGCGCTCATCTTTCGCTGGGCCCAGGTGGGGATGGCGCCTCCAACAGCGCAGGATCCGCGCCGATGTGTCCTTGTTGAATATTCACTGCGCCCGCTCGAGATGCCGATCTCCTCCGCGACCTTTGTCAGCAGCAGAGACGCATGGGCACGGAGGAGGGCGTGTAAGAATGAAGATGAGGAGGAAACCGAGGGATTTGCGGAGGTGGCGAAGACATGGCGGAGGGGGTTCTTGACCCCAGAAGGGCGCCAAATGCGTCTTTACTTGTGTCGTTCTTTTGTCGCTCGCAGGGGCCTCGGCACGTGCAACGTCTTCTCTCCGAAGAGAGTGGCATCGATTTTGGTGAGGCCCCGCTCCCTCTCGTTGGGAGCGCCCCGGGTGCGGGCTCCCCAGATGGCCGCCGCGGGCGCGACCGCGCGCGCCCGCGGGGCCGTCCTCGGCTGCCTCGTCGGCGACGCGGCTGCGACGCCGTGCCACTGGGTCTACGACCCCGCCAAGCTGGCCGCCCACGTGAGGGCGGCCAGGCGGGGCCCCGCCTTCTGCGACCCGCCCGGCAACTCGTTCTACACCACGCCGCCGGGCGCCCTGAGCTGCTACGGGGACCAGACGTTGGCGCTGCTCGAGTCGCTCGTGGAGAAGGGCGGCCGCCTGGACACGGAGGACTACGCCCGGCGGCTGGCCGAGAAGTTCGGGAGGGGCAGCGCCTACGAAGTGGAGGCCGTGGACCCGAGCGACTGGCCCAACCTGAAGAAGAACCCCACGGACGCGGAGGGCAAGGTCATCGAGGGGCAGCGGGCCTGGAGCATGCCACTCCCTGGGCCCTGGCGGCACGGCTCCATCAAGGGCTTCCTCCGCAGGTACGTGACCGAGGGCAGGCGCTACCCCGAGTGCGGCTCCGACGACGAGCAGGTGGACGGCTGCTGCAAGGTCGCCCCGCTGGCGGCCCTGTACGCCGGCACGGAGCATCTGCTGCCGCTCGTGGACCGCGCCGTCCGCGTGACGCAGAACACCGACCTGGCCGCCGGCTCCGCGTGCGCCTTCGCCCGGGTGCTCGAGCAGCTCATCCTCGGGCAGGCCGCGTCCGTAGCCGACGCCGTCGCGCGGGCCACGGCGGACCTCCGGGACCCCGGCCGGAGCTTCAAGACCCCCGCCGACGACGAGGTGGCCGCCGGCCTTCACCGGCTCGTCGGCTTCGCGGGGCAGGCGCCGAGCGATGTGGGCAGGGCGCTGAGGCCAGAGGGCTCCAGCTTCCCTTTCGCCGGGCTGAGCTGAGCCATGCCCCACGCGCTGATCTCGGTTACACGCAAGAGACACCTTTCGTTGGAGTGACCTTCCGCGCGGGCCCACTGGATAGTCCCCTCATCGCCGAGCGCGACACGATAGCACCGGTTTCCGAGCCTGGGTTTGGTCCCCCTTGGCCCCAGCGCGACCCAGGAAGTCCGCGCTGAATTGCGAAAGCTGGTGCATGTGCAAGTGCTCCCCGTCTAGCAGAGCGCCACAAATCCCTCCGCGGAGGGCGTGGGGAATTTCCGCACCACACCTGTTTCTGGGCCTGGCATCGCTCGGACGTGTGCATGTTTTCCCCGCGGGAAACAGCAAGGAGCATGTTGGGTCATTTTGCGAGAAAGCGCACGCACGAAACCGACAAGTGCACGGGGAGTGGACGTCAGCCATGGCGAGTGGGAGGTCGTCGAGGACGAGGCCCGTGCGCAGATCCTCCTTGGGCGTGTCGGCGTGCCCGGGTTCCGAAGGCCACTCCTGCCCAGGGCCACTCCTGCGCGTAGCCGGTGGTCCTGCCGCTGCACTGCGCGCGGGCCGAGTCTGCTTACAGGGAGGCCGTGGAGACCAGCATTCTCGCAGGCGGCTGCACCGCCAGCCGCGCGAGCCTCGCCGGCGCCTGCCTCGGGGCTCTGAGCACGGACGAGGCGGTCCCGCCGGAGTGGTCCATCTCGCTAGTCGACGCGGAGAGGGTCCCCGAAGAAGAAGAAGAAGAAGAAGAAGAAGGAAAAGAAACTGCATGAGCATGAGACGTCGGGGGTCCGCGCGGATTTCTTGGATTGGCGTCAGGCCCTGCTCCCTGGCGCGCGGGGCGCGCCTGGGGCTTCGCCGGAGGCGCCGCCAGGGGGGCCCCCGTCGCCGATCCAAAAAAAAGCCCGCGCGGAGCTCCGGCGGGGCAGGTTTGTGTTGTGTTCAACGGCACCGTAACGGGTATTTACTAACGGGTACTTTGAATTGTTGCCGAAAGTTGCCACTTCAGGGCCTTTTTCTGGCAATGCAGCGTTGCCCGCATCGGGAAGGGTTGGGTTCGCTGGGTCACTGGCCAAAGTACCCGTTAGTGGAGTCCCCGTTTGTGGGGCGCTGACGTGTTTTCTTCCTCCAGGTCCTGCAGCTCTGCTCCCAGCTCGCGGAGCTGCGCGAGGAGGCCCAGGCCTTGAGCTTCCAGGCCGCGGCGTGCCTCTAGGGCCGACCGCGCGGGCTGCGGAGGCGGCGGCTGCGGGCCCAGACCTCCAACACACTCTGGGTAGTCGAAGGCCAGGCTGTCAGATTGGATTGGGCCCCACGGGCCAATCTGGCTTGCCAAACTGGATGATTTGGGTTATTCGCCAGACTGGATTCGCGTTGGCTCCCTCGCCAGACTGCCCCCGTTTGCCAGATTGGGCCTGCCAGATTGGCGCCAGATTGGCTTCGACTACCCAGACACTCGAAAGATCAAGACGGAGATGCTTCGCAGGTTTCGTCCTCTGGGGGGCCTCGCCCAGCCCTTGGACGGTCAAACAACAGCTCGGGATGAAAACCGGCCCCGAGGCAAAGGGGTCCGGCGTTCCAGGGATTGGAGGGTGAAAGAAAGGGTCTGCAGCAATGGGGGCTGAATGGCCCATGCATGCTCAATATATCGCTCATGTATGTGATCGAGTATCATTGGCATACAATGTTGGTGGTCATGAAAGGCCAGTCGTTCGTGCCCGCGCGTTGCCCGCGCGGGCAAACGCGCCGTCCATCCATTATCGTTCATGCGTGCGGGCGTTCTTGCATATCGCACGCGGGGCGGCGAACTGGAGTGCAAGTGTGCCTTGGTTGTGCGATTGATGATCGCGTATGCTCCCAAACGATAACTTGTCGACCCCTAAGACATATTTGAAATGGGTCCCGCGATTCTCCCCAACATGTGAATTCATATTTTCTCTCTTCCCAAAATGTGAATTCAATTTTTCCTTTTTCCAACATGTGAATTCGCATTCTGGCCTCTTCATCATGATGCCTATAGAAAATTCCAATATGTAAATTCACATACCCTTTTTTTTCCTACATGTGAGTTCACATTTCCTTTTTTTTCGCCCAAAATGTGAATTCACTATTTGCTGTTCCCCACAATGTGAATTCACATGTTGCTCTGGCCCTCAAGATCCCCCAAATTGAGGCGCAGTGTTCCGCATGTCAGACTCGATGGGAAGACTTTGACATTCGCCCAGCCCGTTACATTCCAACCTTTTCGTCTTGCGCCCTCAGCGCACGTTGCCCTCGTCGCCTTTTCCCCAGCCCCCGACTCCTTGTTTCGTTTACCCTCAAGTCCCGCGCGTGGGCGCACACGGGGAGTTTCAAGTGCTTCCCGCGCCGAACACAGCAATCGAGGATGCATCGCACATGCGTGGCACATGCGCCCGACCCCCACACTCACCATCCAAAGGAACCGCGCATTGAAACATCGAGGCATCGGGCGTTTGGGACTTGACCCTCAGTGCCGCGCCAGGCCTCCTGCAGGGTTTCCGCGGGAGGGGGAGGAAGAGGAGGAGGAGGAAGAGGAAGAGGAGGAAGAGGAGGAGGAGGAGGACGAGGAGGAGGACGAGGAGGAGGACGAGGAAGTCGAGATCTGGGGGCTGGACGCGGGGAGAGAGCAGGGCAGCGAGCTGGACGTCGGCGCCGTCTCGCCAGCGCTCTGGCTCAAGGACTACTGACAGAGGCTGGCCGCGCGGGCTGCCCTGCGTCCGAGGGCGCGGCGGACATGGATTGCGGTTCTGCCTGAGCCGCGGCGTGGAGGAAAGGTTCTTCTCGACTTGGTAGCGGAGCTTCGGTCCACGACTGGATTGGGTCTCTGGCGCCGCCACTGCGCAGGAGATCGCCGGGGCGGTCTACGGGACGAGGGTTGTGTTCACCGAGACTGAGCGCAACACGCCCGAGACTACGAACGAGGGTGCCTTGCCGGACAGCTTCGGCACGAAGGAGATCTTCCGCTTCAGCGTGGACAGCTCCACGAACGACGACACCGTCGAGGTCAGTCACGTCAGCTGTTCAGCGGTCAACAAGCTGCAGGCTCTGCAGTAGCAGGTGATGGGCTCCCTGAAAGTACGACCGGCATGGAGTCCAGACCAGGCACGGTCGCACCCATTCAGGTCCAGGCTCCAAGGTGTGACGATGTGGTCGGCGGCGGTTGCGCGCGAGGCCCTGCCAGGGCAGCGGGGCTCGGCCGTGGCTCCGCGGCTCGGCGGAGCAGCGAGGTCCCTGGCGCGGGAGACTACGGGGGACCAGCTGCGAGACTGGGCTTTCGCGGACCCCAGCGACGGCAACGGCGCGAGGCAGTTCACGGGGCTTCAGATGCCGTTGCTGATCATCACCCGTTGTTTCGCACCGTTGTGCGATGAGAGCGAGCTGCAGGCGAACGAACGACCTCTTCGGATTCCATAGGACGGGCCATGAAGACATAGACCAGACGCTACCCAGGTTCGAGGTCGTTCGGCGCCGAGCTTCGACGCTAGACAATTTCAACATGGGACTGCAGGGCTACGCTTGGACGCTGCTGAACGCACTGAATTGCAGTCCCCAGGAGCGGAACGAACTCCTGATCCACTTCAGAGGCCACCTTCCGCGGACGGAGCAGCAGCACAACGAACTCGTCGAGCACATCAGACACTACGGACACGTCCTCGAGCGGGCCCCGATGGCCATCAACAGGAACAGCGGCAAGGGCACGCAGGACGGTCATTTCTTTTTTCCGACCTTCGACTTCGGCAGCGGAGGTGGAGGGCGCGATGACAGCCAGGGCGGCAGCCTGGGCTTCGGCACTGGAGCGGGCATGGCGGCCACCGGGACGTCCACGGCAGCATCGGGTGCTCCGAGTTCAGGCTGGGCCCCCTCGAACTCGCGGACGCCCGCGTCACCGACCCCAGCCCCCTGAACCTACCTGGGCAGTGAGCGCGGCGACGATCAGAACTACGCGTTCCGCAAGAAGCGCTGGCGACGCTTCACCGGACGGCCGACGAGGTACCATCGCTTCGGCAGGGGCCAGAGCGGCAAGGGCTCGCTGACCCCGCTCCGAGGCGCCATTGGATCGCGAGGACACGGCGGCGGCAATTGGCATCGCTACGAAGGCAAGCGAGACCCCGCCGGAAGAGATGGCAAGGTGATGAGGAGCTCGGTGAAGGCCCACGAGAGCGAGTACCACCAGACCAAGGACTCTCCGCGCAAGAAAGGAAAAAAGAAAAGGCGCCTTCATCACCAATGGACCAATGCCAGTCTCGCGCGCGGAAACTGGAGTACCCTGGTTTGGCTTCAACACGAGCTCGCCCCCCTCATCCGCGGCGGCTGGCGTCGCCGCCTCAGCGGCGGAGCCTGCTCATAGATCGGGATCGGTCAGTTGCTTTCGCCTTGGAAAACTCAAAACATCCGGGCAGCGCGACGGCCGTCGAAGATCGCGCCAGCGTGGCAAGCTCGAAAGGATTCACTGGAGCATCGATTGCACCTGCCGCGGCGAAGCCGAACATGATCGAGGACCGACGACCAGCCGTTCAAGGGCCGCAGCCCGCCTACCCCCAGGCACCCTGGGAACCGCCATCCTACCCTATGATGGAGCCCCCGAACACGGCGCTGGACCAGCTCGCGAAGATCGACGAACGGCGGGAGAATGGACGCCAAGGGCCTCGGGCCTCGGGGGCCGCGGGGCCCGAGCCTCGGGCGCCAGCCCGCGGGCTTGACCAGATGTTGGGACCTACTGTCTCTTCTGCTACCGCGGCGGCTTCGGACGCCGCCGACAGGGCGACGCGGGCGAGTCCACCGACGCCTCCGACGGGATGGGCATTTGCTTCAGCTGCGCCCCCCACAACGACGGCATCGGAGGTCTTTGGGGCGGTGCCCAAGCAGGCGGCCGTCAGCGTCGGCGGCCTGATCACCGCGCCCCCCAGATAAGGCCACCGTCGCAACCCGCCGAGCAGCGCGACACAGGGAACGTCTGCCAGCTAGGACAAGCCCGAGAGCCCCCCCGGCGATGCTGGGCAGGCAGAGTGGCGGAGGGCGACGAGGAGGTCGACTTAGTTATCAGCGTTCGATCTCAAAGTCGAATCGGACTATACGTCGGCGGGGGCGCCGGCGACGCGAAGGATGACGAGATTGAGCGCGAGGGCTACGACAAGCACGAGGGCGTCAACTTCGCGGGCGGCGATCTGGACTTCCACGGGGTCGCCTGGGCGCTGGACAAGGAGAGCGAGACCCATTCGCTCGTCCACGAGCGCACCAGGCTAGACAACGGCGAGATGGGCATCCTGGTCGACCCTGGCGCGCACGGGAAACTCGCGGGAGACCAGCGGGCCAAGCAGCAGGCCGCGAAGGCGTCGCGTTGCGGACGCAACGCCGAGGAGACGATGCCCCGCGAACCTCTGGAGGTCAACGGCGTCGGCAAGTGCCCAGACGATGGCGATCAGCAGTAGCGGCTTCCTATCGGCGCACTGGAGATAAGTCAGGAAATCGAGGGCAGTGGCAACCTGGACCCATACGCTGCCCCGATCATCCCCGACAAAGACGGGCCGGCACTGCCGGGGAGAACCTCGGAGAAGCCCCTCGAAGAAGCTCCTCGAAGAAGCTCAGCGTCTACGCGGCCCTCGACGTTGAGCGTCGCCATTGCCCGCGGGCGCGAGGAGCTGCAACCTGAAGGCCAGCGGGAGCGGGCACTGGCCACTGCCGCGCTCAAGGCCCATGGAGACCGCCGCGACGAAGCCGACAGGATTCCCGATTGACAAGCTGCACCCGAAGGCCGAACAGCTCGACTTCGCGATGGTCGAGAGCGAGAGCGAGACGAAGCCCCAGGACGAGGAGAGGCAAGGTCACGCCGCTACAGGCCACGGAGTAGCGCCGGGCAGCTCTGGGCGCGGATCGGCGCGCCGCGCAAGGCCGCCGCTGTTTCCAAGCCTGCGCAGGCGCGCGAGCAGGAGACGGTCCGCAAGGAGGTGCGCTTCGAGGATGAGCCGCTCTCGGCCGCGCCCTCGCTTCAACGCTGAGGGCGCAGGGTTTCGGCCGCGGCGGTCGGAACAGCTGCTGAACGCCAGGGGGCGACGCCGCATCAGCTACACGCACTCGGCCACCGCCTCGGATCGGATGCAACTACGCGCGCAGCTCGCGAAGGAGGACGGCCGATGGCCCAGGCGTCGGCCTACGACCAGGCTTTCGGCAGAGGCCCGAGAACTTAGGCGACGCCTCGCTGAAGGCAAATTCCAGCTACCGCGGGCAGATCTTCCAGGACGTCGCGGAGCTGAAACCGAGCAGCGACCCCGGCAGCGACTTCGATGCCTTTGAGAATGCGTTCGGTCCCAGGTGGCTGGAGCCGGGGCTGCCATGTTCATTGCTGAACGCGGCAGCTTTATGTGGGTGAACCCAACGGCCATGCAGCTCCGCCGAGACGTACTTCATGCAGCTGATATCCATTGGTGCGCCCATGATGCGCAGTCTCTCCCAGACGAGTCCAGCGAGCAGGGCGGGTCGAAGTCAGTCCTCATTTATAGTTCCAGCGAAGCCATGCACGCGCGAGAAGAAGGATAGGAGACACAAGAGTGATTGGCGGAACTCGTCGGGCCGCGATCAACGGAAGCAACAGCGGGAAGAGCAGCACACAGAGTAGATGGAAGCAGTGCTCATGGAGATCAACGACGCCCTCATGGCTGAGGGTAGCCGTTCATTACCAGAATGGCTCGAACTCGGCCCCGACCGAGGCCAGGATGCGCGCCAAGATGAAAGCTCTCACCGACATGCCGAAAGAAGCCAAGAAGTGGGAATTCTTCACGCGAGGTTCTGGCCAGATGCTCGCGACGCGCCTTGGAAATAGGTAAGAAGCCGCCCGATCTGCCTCCGCAAGCCAGCGTGACATCCTGCTGGCCGCCGGTATAACTGTTCCCATCAACCACGGCACACTTCTGCGCAGTCGGTGGTGGAGATCAAAACTCCTGGCGAATATCGAATGGCGAGCTCCAGGGCCGATACCTCGCCGTCGGGCATAGTCTGAATACCTCCCGCCAGCGATCCCATCAGAAACGCGCCGATCTGGTAGGGCGTGAAAACGGAAATCACACAAACTGCGACACGCACTCGCCGAAGTCTAACATCATGTGTGTCAGGTCCTCTCGAGGCGTCTCCAAGCACATTCAGTGGGCTCTCAGCGGGGCCTCGACCGAGCCAGGTTGGGCCAGCTTCAAGATTACCATCTTGCTGGGATAACCCCACGACTCCAGAAGCATGAATGAGCACCGTGGTCAGCCATTGCTTCTGTTACAAGCAAATTAGATTGCTCGAATACTTTGCCGCCTTGATTGCACCAGCAGAGCCACTTCCTGTGGACGTCGGATTCGGGAGCCTCGGATTATCGATCACAGGTAGCACCAGCATCCATATTGGCGGCACGTGTTGTTTCATTTGACCAAACTCTTCCTACAGCAATCGTCAACATGATTTCAGCCAGTTGCCGTCCCTTGCGGACAGATTGTAGGTTGCCGATGAAACGCCCCGCAAATTTATCAAGTCTGCGCCGCCCTCCAAGCCGCTGTCACAATGTAAAACCGAAGCCGCACGCCACTGTCGCAACGCTAATGGCTCTTCAGACTCACGAAGTAAGTCATTTGCCTGATCCAACGGGCACGGAGCGCCGGCGTCGAACTTCCACGCGCGAAGCTCTTGCCCATTGTCATGCGGCAAACCTCACTCAGACGGAGAATGAGGAATCCAGCCAGCCTGCGACAAGTACGCCACCACGGTCGGCACGGGGCTTCGAACATCTCTGGACTTGCGCGTCCCAGGTAGACTTTGTAATTGTTGAACCGTCTGCTGCCATGCACGATGAACTCCTGCTCGCACCGCTGGCTCTGCGATTAACACCTGCAGCCACTGCGCCAAACACTGCCGAAGTAGAACCAGTCCTGGATCGGCGTGCTCGGCGCGCAGGCCTATAGCGCGGTGACACGGCGCCCGCGGCGCGCAGCGCCTGAGGCAGCGCCTAGGCACCGCCGCTGCAACCCCAGACCACTGCCAAACTTCTCATATATCTGATGTCCGCACGTGGCAACTGCCCGTGGCCCCGTTCGCTCGACGCACGACGTGACTTTATATCGCCGAGCAGTTGCCGCAAGATGTCGCAACGTAAGATGATGGTGTCCCGCTTTGGCGACACGCTTTCGGGCTGCGGCACGAGCATGGCGAACTCCGCGGCACGTGTCGACGCCCAAACATGCTGACTGTAAAGCTGCCGTGGTACGAAAGCCGCGCCTCTTGAGAACTCACAATGTCCTTGGCATCGATGAATGAAGACCCAGAGACGACATTCTTAGCAGCGAATGCTTTTAATGCGATCCGCCCTGATTTGCTCGCGAGGGCCGACTGTCCTCTACGCCAGGCCGTCGATCCAGATCCCTTCTGACATCTTTGGGCGCGCTATGCGCAGACGCTGCATCACGAAATGCGCGGGGCACTTGCCGAAGCGAGCGCCGCTCCGAATACCTTGAATAGTTATTCGCGCGCCCTGAAAAGACCATGAGCGCGAGTTGAATTGAGACAAGACTTTGGGCATCACACACGTTGGCATCGCGAGAAATAGGACGACGGGCGGAAACAGCAGTCACACTGCAGTACCAGCCAAAATCGGATACCCGATGCTGTCCAAAATGACTCCAAGTCTATGAAAGCCTCCCCCTGCGCCATATTCACACGAGCACGCACTTCAGAATTGAGGGCGCGTACGAAGACCTCCCTCAACGCACTGCCCCCTGTCGCTGCTGCGCCCCTGTTTGGAGCTGACTGCGCCGCTCGGGTCCGCGCGTCATCTTCACGGCGAGGCTCCACAGTTTGTTGACCATGGGGATCATCCCGATAACCCGATCACTTCCTGATGTCTTTCCTAAAAGCCGCCCAAGAGCGACCGCCAGTTGCCACGGCCACCACAACCCCCTCTTCGAAAAAGAAGGTACACCTGACAGAACTGCTCTGGCCTTGCGTCGGGAAGACGTTCGAAGTCAATTGGTGGAAGTTGATCGCAGCCCAGTCCAGCTTTGGATGCCACCCGCATCAGTACGCGCCGAAGATCTGCGACAGTGAGCGGCTCGAGCTGTTCGGTGGAGGCTAAGTTGCGGACGGTGCATGTCGCTTCCAAGAAGTTCTGCCGCCAGCGCCTCCGACTGCCATAACTCCTGCCACTCCTCAACAGAGGATGCGCAGCACATGTGCCTTCAAAATGTAGCTCGTCGACATCGGCGGGGGTTTGTTCAATGCTTTTATGCGCAGTGCCAAGCGCGCCTGTCGAGCCGACCCATTCCTGAGACTCGCGGAGAGACTGACTAACGCGGGCTCTACCTCGTCCGGCACCCCGACCCACAATGTCACAATAATGGCCAGCTGACACAGCGCGAGCGCGCTGAGGGCAGTAAGCTGCACCACCCACTCCGCCCAAATGCCAGTGCCAGAAAGGGAAAAGCTCGTGAACACCAGCGGGCGCTTTATGAACAAGCTTCTTGGCGCTCTCGCTCAGCTGCTGGACCTGCACGTTGACATTATTCCGTCTACGATGTCGTTCCACCCGCTGGACCAGCGCATGCATGCGAGCCCGCCGCGAAGCGCGAGCATCTCGTAGAGGCAGATCGCGAACGTGCTCTGCTTGATGAACTGCGCCAATCTCCTGGCGAGGCCCTTCGGCGCGCGAGCGCCGTGGAGCTGCAAGATCGCCGATGCCCCCCCTCGACCGCTGTGACCCGAGCAGCGCGGCGAGCGCTGATCTGAAGAACGCACGGCCCTGCTGCCGCGATCGCCAGAGACTCGAGCGCAGCAGACCAGACATCTGAGAGAGCGCGTGTTCGCCAACCAATTTGACCCCAAAGTTTGCGCAAATTGGGCACGGGATGGAGAGATGCGCGTGCACAGTCGAGTCGGATGGACCGTCTCCAACGGCGCCTACCTGAGGGCCCAGGGCGGTGCGATCATTGAGGTGGGCCAAACGCTCCCCCGAACGATTGCCCAGCACACCATTATATTCGACACTGGCGGTTCCTGATTGGGTCACGGGCGCTTCGGCCCTGGGCCCCACGTGGCGAAAATTGCTTTCGGCGGCGCAGGATCTAACCCATCTTCGAAACCAGCGAGGAAACACTGGACATCTAAATCTGAATCCTCCCCCTCGAGACCGCCGAGTTCGGAGGGGATGGGGGGCTGCGCAGAGGGCTGCACACAACTAGGCCCCACGCCCCCCCCCCCCCCCCCACCCACCGACTCGCACGGCTCTGAAGAAGGTCGGAGAACAGCTCGGCACAATTTGCACGGCGTCTCCCCCGACTGATGGCCAGTTGTTCGGCGCGTTTCTTTTTGCGGCACTCGATGCACTGTCAGAAGTTGCAGGCTGCGACGGGCGTGCAATCAGCGGCAAACGAGGCGCAGTCGGCATCGTGCGAGCCAGTAATTGTTGGCCAGAACTTTTGAGCGCGATCGCCAGACCGCAATGAGGCGCCCACGGTACGCCCTGAACAGAGGCCACAGCCCGAATGCATGGCAATCATGACGAGCTGGCCACCACAAAATCGATGCGAGAGTCTCCAGAACCCCCCACCTGTGAGCATTGAATTGGAGCCCGAAGGACATGTCCATGAATCCTTTCGAGGAACATTGATTTCTGAACTTCGCCGACGCCTATGTTGAAGCCGCCGGCGGTCATCCAGGGCATCTGTAGGGCCCTAACAAACGAATCGAATCTAGCATACATTTGAATGCTATCGCCATGGAACCCCACCGACGCGCGGGCGTAGAACATGATGGCGACGAAAGTGAAACCTTAATGATGAATGATCACGGGCATGACGCCGTCCAGCTCGTCGGCGCACAAGTGTGGAAGCTCCTTGCCCTTGCTAACAAATCTATGAATGCGACGATGCCCATGTGCCAGAACTAGTTCCCCTCCTTCGTTTGAGCGAGCATCTCTGGCAGCAAGTCCTGATTTGCACTCGCGCTGACGAGCGCAGTTGCCAAGACATTCGAGGTTCAGACCTCGAGTTTTGCGCGCCCGCTCTTCACGAGTGGCCGCGCCCACATGTGTTTCCGCCATCCCCATATACCAAAATTGCTGCCGACGATCTTCACGCGTGAGATTATCCCAGGCCATGGGGCCCAAAGCCGCGACACTCGCGAAGAATAGTCTTGAAACCTCATCGCACTCAGGTCGGTCGTCAGCAGCGGGCGCGACGGGCGGCGCGGCAGTGTCAGAGTGCGCCGCGCGGCCTGCCAGCTCGCCATGCTGCCCCGAGTTTGCCCGCGCTTCAGGCGACGAGCGGTCAACCGGCGCGGCCAGCGCCTGGGCCTCCGTTGCCCTCACCTTGGCCGCAGAGATGCGCGCCGCCTCGTTGGCCACCT